GGCGCCGCTGCGCACCACTATGGCTGCCGCCAGCAGCACCGCCACGACCGCGTTGTTGAGCTGCCCCCAGAGGCGCTCGAGGAAGGTGGTCTTCTTGGGGGGCGTCAGGGAGTTGGGGCCGTACAGCTCCAGGCGGCGCTGCGCCTCCGCTGCGCGGGGGCGAGCGCGTGTGCGATGCATGCATGCATTGCGGGTCGTGGACGAGCGAGCGAGCCGGGGGCGCCGATGGGGGCACGAGCCCGAGCCGTGGGTCGAGGGAGTGCCCGGCAGGAGGGGAGGAGCGGGGGAAGGGGGAAGAGGCGCACGTCGGGCCCTCCCGAGCGCCGCGCGCTGAGGGGTCCGCCGCCCCGCGCCTGAGTCGCACCTGCGCCTGCGGCGCTGCTGCCGCCCTCCAACCGCAGACGGCTCTGCGCGAGACCCGGACGGCCCGGTCCCCAGGCCGCGGCCCGCCGCGCAGGCGCCGCGCCGCGGCCGGCGCGGGCTGCTATTGCATGCACCGGCTCTCACCGGAGGCCAGGCCTGTCTCTGCATTGGAGGCGAGGTCGGCCATGACCTCCTGAGCAGTGGGCACAGAGTGCCATGGCAGGACCTCCTCTTCGTCGTCCGCCTGCACCACCACCTCCAGCCCCTGCGCCATCTGGATGATGTCCGCCTTGGAGCGGTCGGTCGTGGCCTTGCTCTTGGCCTGCCCCATCGCGGCGGGCGCGGCGCCCGGCGGGACGAGCGGGCTGGGATCTGGTCAAGAGAGAGCGCGGCGCCGCCCGTCAATGGCTGTTGCCGATCGCGGCGCTAGGAGGCGCTGCTGGAGCTGATTCAGGGGTTACTTCTCTCGATGAAAGGTGTGGATGCCTAGTTCAGCGGTCCCGGCGGGCGTTTGCTGGCCCTCTGCGAGCCTAACAACAGGCACTTACGCTAGAACCGTATATAATCAGATTTTAAGCTAAATACGACGAGAAGAGTGGACCAGTGGCCTAAGGCGATGAAGTCTCCACTTCGATAGTAACTCGAGACGACTGCGCAAGTGATGTGCTGGCAAGCACTGAACGCGGTCTGATGCATATGGAAGCGGGGCATCTGAAACGATAAAGGTGTCCTAATATTGCTGGTCAGGCCGCAATCACTGGACAGGCTGGCGGCGCCTGCTGCTCACGAGATGCTGCAGCATCTGGCGGGCGCAGGCCACCTGTGCGGGGCGCCCCGCCTCGACGCTTCCCATGCTGCCTTCCCACGCACCGGCAGGCGGGGACCAGTCTCAGATCCGCCTGACACTGTCTACATGGCTACCGCTGGCTGCCTGGTCGAGGAGCACATCCGCAGGAAAACCCCTTGATTGAACGACGTGTGAGGCTTTCCCGCCAATTTTGGGACGTCCCCAAACCCGGCCTCAGCTGACTGCAACGGATCGGCCTTGACCAGCCAGTCACCACAAACGTAAGAGTGCGTCCATTACCGGAGATTTGTGAGGCATGATGGTGCAACTGCACGCGGGAGGGGCTCCTGTCGCGTCCAAACCCCGCAGCACAGGCCGCTCTCAAGAGCGCAGCTTTTGAAAGTCCAGGCACACGCGCGCGCATGGGACGCACTCCCCGGCAGCGAGCGGGCGGCCGCGCACCGCCCCGGCGAAGCGCGGCCGCTCGGCGCGCGGGTGCGATACCAATGATTGGGCGCTGCCGGCTGGCGGGCAGGCCAACGGGGCGAGCGGGATCAAACGATCGTGCTTGGGGTGTGAGGGTGCGTGACAGACCAACAACTCAACCATGCGTCCATGCAGGTCGCGGCAGAACTAGTGCAGGTGCTCGGCAGCAGGGCCTGCCCCGCCCGCACCGCGGCCTCGGCAGGCG